GAAGACCTTTCTCTCTCTCTCTCTCTCTCTCTCTCTCTCTCACTGTCCACTCTGCCTGTCAAAACAAAAAAAAAGAATATGCTTGTCAGAGTTATGATCATGACTGGATTAATAGAGCTGCCCCCTGCCCTGCTTGCCCACTTTCAAAACTGTTCCTTCCATTGGCAGCACTGCTGAGCTAGGTCATCACCCATCAGCTCAGGGGAGTCCCCTTTGACAACCCCAGGGAAGTTTCTGGTCCTAGTGATTTTCCCCCAACTGGAAGAACCTCTGTACTGAGTTGTGGTTGGTAGTGACAAGAGTAGTCCCAGGGGTGGACGCTGTGGCACAGCAGGTTAATGCCCTGGCCTGAAGCCCTGGCATCCCATATGGGCACGGGTTCGAGACCCAGCTGCTCCACTTCCGATCCAGCTTTCTGCTATGGCCTGGGAAAGTAGTAGAAGATGGGCCAAGTCCTAGGGCCCCTGCACCTGCGTGGGAGACCCAGAAGAAGCTCCTGGCTCCTGGCTTCGGATCGGCGCAGCTCCGGCTGTTGCAGCCAACTGGGGAGTGAACCATTGGATGGAAGCCCTCTCTCTCTCTCTGCCTCTCCTCTCCCTGTGTAACTCTTTAAATCTTTAAAAAATCTTAAAAAAAAAAAAGTAGTCTCAAGCTAGAATGCAACAGGATCTGCTCTTCTTACATAAAGAATTTTTTTCAATGTGAAAACTTCTTAAATTTTTATATTCATGTGGTTGATATTTGAAGTGAAATATTGGTCAGTTTTTCTAGTGTGGATTTGTTTGGGAATAGTATTTGTGGAATTTACTTATCCATTACTGAAAGTCCTACTTTGGTATTGTTTTGTGCATGTGATTTTTTTCTGACTCTCTTTGATGATAGGAAATTTAAATGCTCTATTTATTTATTTGTTTTTGTTTGGATACATTTTTGTTTTATCTTGGTGTCAAATGTAAAAAATATTTTTTCTTAAAATGTCAGATGACCCTTTGCTATATATTCATGTATATTGGTAAAGAGAAAATAAAAAAGCTGCCTCCAAACTGTATTTTGATGGCACTGATTTTACTGGTACAGTTTGCTTTGCAGTGAATTGATGGTTAGCTGTGAATATGTTAGAAGTCAAGTCAAATCCAAAATGAGGCAGTCTTTTATTTGGGATACACATACCCATACAACCTTTCTTGGTTTTCTAGATAGCTGATTCATTTCTTTAAACACAACCCTTCTCCCAGTTACTTATTTATGTATTTGTCTCTATGCACAGTGAGATATTTAACTACAGACCAGAAAAAAAGAAGTAGCTATTTATATAGAGTTGGGAAGGGAAATCCAGTGTCTTTTGGGCAAATCTTCTATTGATTATGTTTTTCAGCCTCACTTCTTACCACAGTTCTGTCAGAAATCTCAGGTGATTCCTTGAATTGCAGCCCCCTCTGCACCCATTCTAGTTTTTTTCCTGTGAATGTTCTTTCCTTTGTATACTTTGTAGTGTTTAACCTTATATACCTTGCAGTGATGATAGTCCCTCTTCTTTGTCGTGGGTTTATATCTCCTCTCCCCAGCACACCCATATTATTTTCTTAAGAGGATATCTAGAGGGACAGAAGACAAATAGATGCTGTTTGGACTTCCTAACAGTGATGGTATGAATATGGTTTGTCCCTACCAAGATTCATGCTGAGATCTGGTCTCCAAAGTGTCACTGTTGGAAGATAGGGTCTAGTGGGTGGTATTCCATCATGTGATAGAGCCCTTGTTAATGCCTGCTCAGAGGTGGGGGCTATGGCATGGTAGGCTAGCCTCTGCCTTCTTCACCTGTATCCCTTATGGGTGCCCATTTGTGTCCTGCCTGCTCCTCTTCTTATACAATTCCCTGCTGATATGCCTGGGAAAGCAGCGGAGGATGACCCAAGTGCTTTGGTCCCTGCATCCATGTGGGAGACCAGGAAGAAGCTCCTGGCTCCTGGCTCCTGGCTTAGGATCAGCTCAGCTCCGGCTGTTGTGACCATTCAGGAGTGAACCAGGAAATGGAAGACTTACTTTCTCTCTCAATCTCTCTCTCTCTTTCTCTCCCTCTCCCTCTCCCTCTCCCTCTCCCTCTCCCTCTCCCTCTCCCTCTCCTCCTATCTTGCTCTGTAACTCTACCTCTCAAATAAATAAATATAATCTTTTAAAAAAAATTAATGCCTGCTCATGGATAGGTTAGCTATCACTGGAGTTTGGCCTCCTTTTCCCTCATACTTGTACCCACTTGTCCTACCAGAAGCCAAAAAGCTGCTGGCACCATGCTCTTGAACCTCCAAACTTCCAGAATTGTGAACCAAAATAAACCTCTTTTTATTATTAATTACACAGTCTCAGCTACTCTGTTGTAGCAAAAGAAAACAGTCTAAAATGTTAACCAAAAATTTTGTGTGCATATTTTTAAACAGTGGCAATATAATATGTATGTGCTCTCTTGAATCCTGATTTTCTCTCTTCTTCAAGGACTTTTTATATTGCTATCCTTTGTAATTATGGCTTGTAGTAGATAATAAAATGGTTATGTTTTATTATTATGATGGCTGCTATTATTTTAGTCACTGTCTCTTTTTTCTTCATCCTTCTTCCTTCACACCCTCACACATTTTCAACTTTCCTCAGACAACCAATGTTGACAACACTGACCCATGTGTGGAACAGTAAGGCTAATTTTTTCCCCTTTGGTCAATCTGATTGGCTTAAAGCTATCAAGAAGGGCAGTCTGCCCCAGAGCAGGCTGACATAATCATTAAGAAAGCAATTTCAGGTATCTCTGGGTTTTCCAAGAAACTTTGTGATTTCAGTTACAAGAGTATAGGTGATGAGCTGTATCTCTGTAATGACTTCTTGGTGTTAACATTTCTACCTTAGTTCTTAGCTGGAACTGAACTATTTCCCTTATTTATAATGCCTCTGTTCCTGTTTTTATTCTAACTCTCTTCTCAGAGTGGCCAAGTTGTCTTTGAGGTACCATCATCTGGTATTCAGTTTATAAAATGAATGTCACATTTAAGGACTTAAAAATCAGAACCATATAAAGGCAAGAAGTTTGAGGACAATAAATATCATAGGAAATATATGGAACCTTTATCTTACCATTATCAGTTTCCTAGATAATCTAGGCTCAACCAAGAGATCAGCTTGTCCAATCATGTATAATAAAATATCCATTCTGTTAACTGATGCATTTGTTGTTTGACCTTATTTTTGTTTCTGAAAGGTAGTGTAAATAAAAATTACAGATTTGAGAAATGAAGAAATAAAATTCATTATTAAAGATGTAAAACTACATAAAAATAAAAACAAATATCTTACATACATTAATATATAAAATCATACATACATATATATTAACAAAAAATGGAAAAGTTTTTGCAAGGAGATATAGTTTACCATAACATTCAAAATACAAAGTGCCTTGGAATTAGTAAAACATGAGACATGCAAACTCATATGGGGACAGAATTACTGCGTGACAATAAGACTCCCACTCAGTTCTGGACCAATTTGACCCATCCAATCTGAAATTCATAACTATTTTTCTTTTGGTTGAGGAAAACACTTTGACAAAAGACTGAAATTATATGGAAAGGCAAATGGTCAGTAGCCTTGAATAACAGCAGTGACCCTTGTTGTGGGGATGACAAAGTCCCTAGACCCGCAACATTGATGGCATTGCTAGAGAGCCTTGTAGAAATACAGAATCTAGGGTCCCCACCCCAAACCAGCTTAGTGATAATCTGTGCTAACAAGATCTCAAATGATCTTCAGTATTTCCAAAGATTTTTTAGAATAAGAGCTATTAAAAAGTATATATAGATAATATTTAGGTTGTTACACAAATACCAAAATCCAGGAATTTATTCTTAACAAGATCACCTAGAAGAGTGGGAAAAAGGTGGTCTTTACAAACACTCTGGAACAACCGGTAACTAAACAGAAAAAAATTGGGTTGAATAGCATTGCTGGTTTAAATGGTGTGACCATTCCTTTCTTGGTTTCAGCTACACTGCTTTAGACATGATCAGTTTTTAGTGAAAATAAAAGGGATGTTTTAAGTATGCATTTTTCCTAGGAGCTCTTGTTACCCATGTGCCTAAAATCTATGAACAGGGTGGATGTTTGTCCTAGCAGTAAAGATGCCCATGTCTGAGGTAGGTGTTTGGCACAGCGGTTAAGATGCCACTTGGGGTGCCTGTGTTCCATATTAGAGATCCTGGATTCAAGTCCTGACTCCTCTTCTGATTCCAGTATCCCTGCTAAAGTGCTTGCTAGGAGACAGCAGATGATGGCTGAGGTGATTGGTCCCTGCTATCCATGTGGGAGACTTTGTTTGAGTCCTAGGCTTCTGGCTTCCTCCAATCGGCCCTGGCTGTTGTAAACTTTTGGGGGGTGAACGAGCAGAGGCAGAAGATGGAAAATTAATCTCTCTCTCTCCCCCCCGCCTTTTAAATAAATAAATAAATGTAAAAAAATATACCGATGTCCCATTTAATACTGAAAAAAATACTGAAGTCCCACCTCTGGTTCCTGATTTCAGCTTTCTGCTAATAAACAACCTAGGAGGCAGGAGGTAATGGCTCAGATAGTTGGATCCCTGGCATCTGCATGGTAGACCTGGCCTGGCACTGCCCCAGACACCCAGTCATTATAAGCCTTTTGGGGGTGAACGAGCAGATGGAAATATCTTTCTCCCTGTATCTCTCTGTCTCTTTCTCTATATCTATCTGCCTCTCAAAAATATACAAATGAGTAAATAAGTTAATAAAATGTATGTATTGTCTTTGTTAATAAGCTTTTCTTGAGTACTGTATCTTCAGGGTGTCTGTATTCCCAGCATCTCTTCTTCACAGCTCAAGCCCATATGTCATGATATAATAAAAGTACTCTCACTACCAATATATACAAGTGATGTTGTGAATATGCCTTCACCTCCCATTGTGGCACTGAAAAAGCTTTGTCCTATTATTTTATAGGTACATTTTACGTATTTTGGAGTAAACTCTGCTGACAATATGAAGGAAGGGACAGTTTGTGAACTGATATGTATAAGGAAATAATTTTCTATTTGGGATTAGAAGATCAGCTCATTCTTAGAGTCTTCCGAAATAAAATTAGGTAAGAAATGATTTTCTTCATATTTTGAATAATTTGTACCCTGCCTGTCTAGTTTCCTTGACGGCTTCTATAATTCTATTCCTTTGGCCTCTCAGAGAATACAGTTAGCATTTTCCTTTAGGAAGTTGGTGTGCCAGCCAGCTGTCAGCCTTGTGATGTACCTGATCTCCAATGTCAGGGGAAGCACAATTCAATTTTAAACCAAGTCTGCTGTATGACAGTGCAGCAGGGCTGCCAGCATCTTGCTGTATGATTCTTTCTTTGAAACCCTACATTCTGCGCAAGGAGTATACTTTTATTTTTAATTCTTTCCTATGAGATGCAACCACCACTAACTGACTTTACTTGTCTTTAGTTAAAAATCAATGAATTGAATGAAATAATCAGTATTTCTGTTAACCTCTCTGGTTCCTAGGAAATAAAATACCCCTGCTTGTTTAACTTGTGACTTGTCTAAACATGTTGAAAGCATTGACTATAAGGCATAACACTCAGACTCTGAAAGGGAACCGTGACAAGTTCAGTCAAAAGGGAAAAGAGGAATAATTTATAAAAGGCACTGCAGATAATGATGCCAGCCAGTTATTTTAAAATGCATCCATATCACCTTTTAATGAATTAGATTTGTCAACAGCAAATGTTTTATGCACTACTTCTAATAAAAGTGGCACGCCAGGAGTGTAGTACTTTGAGGTGAACTTCTTCAAAGCTTCAGAGTATCTTCAATTCAAAGATATTTTTTAAATAATAGATATTAAAAAGTATATTTAAATAATATTAAGGTTGTGACACAAACACCAAATGACAAAAATCAGGAGTTTCAAAGCAGTGGCTGACATGCCATCCGTATTTCACATAGTAACTGTTTTTTAAATTAGGAATGTAACAGACTGATTTGGGGATTGTGTGTCAGTTTAACTTTAAATTCTCTTGTTGTTTTGGTTGGTGTCACAACCTTAATGTCAACTTTTCAAATAGGTTTCTACATTTCCTTTGGTGTGAGGTCATTAAAAAATGCATATGATAAATCTAAAAGGCATAAATAGGTCACAGGGAAGTGGAATTCTTTGCTTCCCCGGAGTTGAAAGACAGCTGATACCTGCCTTGTAAATGGAAAAAGTTAGCTCAAGCATTTTCAGTAAATTTTTGCTTTTCAGATATTCAATTCAGAAGAAATGTATACCAAAATAACAAGACATGGTGTTTGTAGAATTCTGCTCACTCACTATTCTTAGACCTTTAAGCCTAACACTTTGATCTTGTTTATCATTTCAATAAATATTAAGGATCATAATTCCTATAGTTGATTTCCTTTCTCTAAAAGCACAAGTTTTATTTCACTTGAAGAATCGAAAGAGTGGCGAATCCTTAGTTGATGTTGATGTAGCTGAGTGCCAGGTAAAGCCTGCCTTGTCGGCTTCCTTATGGCAGTCCTTCATATAGATCGTTTCCTGCAGATTTCTGGGAGTAAAATTTATTTTTTTAAACTAACATTTGCCAGAGAGGATAAAATATAAGGTGAAATTTGAAGTGTTGTGCTTTTATGAACTAATTCTTGTATCCCGCCAGACATGAAGGGGGCAGTGGGGAGCATTCCTTTACCCCATCTCTGCAGGCAGAAAAAGAAAGGGGGAGAGAATATCATAGCCCAAGTTCCTCCTTTTTCCTTGATTCTTGTTTGTGATGATCTTACAGGGTAGGTTGGTTATCTAATTTGACTCTAGTTTTAATTTCTAAAAATAAAGATAATAGGAATTATCCCACAAGTTTTTAAAAATCATGCATGTTAGAAAAATAAAAGATGAAAAGATAGGAAAATGACTGATGGACATTTTTGTTGTTGTTGTCTCTTAAACATACTGACCAACCAAGTGTATGCCATACCTCTCATCTCCTCCTCGGTAGAGCCACCAAGCCTTGCCCTGTCTGGTTTTATCAATGAGTGGAAGAACATGAATCGTTCTTCCACTGTGTTTCTTCTACAGTTGCCTGTGAACGATATGTTTAAATCCTCCAAGCTAACAGTGCTCTTCCTTGAGCGAAATTTTAAAATCATTACTGTTTTTCTAATAATAATTCTGATACCTATATCATAAAAATGTATTTTTTAGACAAAAATGTTTCTAAATTGAGAAGAAGCTTTTCAAATAAATGACTTGGAACTCTGTGTGCCTGCAATATAAAATTTTTTTCTGGCATAGAAACGAAATGTGCTCTTCAAATATCATAGACCAAGCCAGCTTCATGCAAATTCTTTTAGAGCAGTTTCAGATTTATGTATTTAATAAAGCTGGGTACTGGTTCTAACTTACGTATTTAATGTCCTTCAATGTACAGTGATGTTCTAGTGACTGCCTTGAAAAGAATGATGGCCTTTTATTTAGCATTTCTGCTAGATCAGTCAATTCTATAAATGGATTTCTAATGGGATGCAATATATGCTTTTAATATCTTTCAATAATACTAAGAGATTACATTTATTGAGTTCTTTCTGTAAGCCAGGGACTATTCTAAGTACTGTCTGTGGATTATCTCACATAACCCTGGTAATAGTCCTTTAATGATCTCACTATTTTACAGGTGTATTACAGGTGTAGGATCTCCTAGTTATACAGCTGGTGAACCAATGGAGCTGGGATTTAGGCACAAGCCGTGTGACTCCAGAGCTCCAGCCCTGAACCCTTCCCTCTCTAAATGGCAGTCCCAGAGCAGCAGTGTCACACCATCAACTGGGAACTTGTTATAAATGCAGAGTCTCAGACCTACTGAAAATCTGCATTTTTGAACAAGATTCCCAGGTAGTTGTTACATTAAAATTTGAGGAGCACAGCTTTAAACCACTATGTCATCTTTTGGCCCTTTTATGCAGAATTAAATTTCTTTAAATTTCTATTTTTAGGTATGATGCAAAATTCCCATCCTTATGCTATTTGGCGATTCCTGTGATATTTCAAGTGCATTATGAATATAAAGAGATTTAATAACTGAACATAAGCTGAGATGCTAGTACAGGGTAGTTATCAAGTTATCTTGAAATCAACTCTATAAAGAGCACAATAAAATAATCCCAGAATATAAACAACATATCTTTCTCTGTAGAGACAGATGATTGGTGCAATATTTGAGACTTTCTCAGACTCACAGTGCTGCACGCTGTCTGAGCACAGACTCTGGAGACAAGCTGTTTGTGTGTGATCTCAGGAGCATTATTTAACCCTCTGTGTCTCAGCTTCCTCATCTGGGAAATGAGGCCTGAGGCTGTATTATTCTACAGGATTGTTGGGAGGATTCAACGAGTTAATGGATGTCAAGGATTTAGAACAGGGCTTCATGAAGTAAGGGAACACATGTTCACCACTGCTATTCTTTAGTTTGATTCACATCTTTGACAGAATGCAGTCACACCCCATATTTCTTGGTGACCCTCTGCTAATACACTGACAAATACTTTCTGTTACCAGAGCTCACCACATAAAGGAGACGTCTTTACTGTTAGAGTCCCAGTCACCGACTTCAGTTCTTGTGTTTTCTGAAAACTGTCTCCCTGTGGCACTTTCTGCCTGTGAGTTATGCTAAATGCCATTGAATTGTGATGCTTCATCAGCTAAATCCTTTGCAGTCAGTTTGAAATAAAAATGAAAATGTGTTAACAATTATTGTTATAATATATAATGTATTATGTATTATATAATATAATAATTATTATAATAATTCACAATATTGTGAATATATGTGCATGTAAATTGGATGAGATTATGAGGGTGGGAGTCCACTTAGTCATCCTCTTACATAGTAATACAGAAAAGTTAGACAGAAAAGGGATGTTTGTTTAAAAACTGAATGCTCCTGAAGCTGGTTTGTGTCCTGCGTGAACGTAATCCTGAAATAACCGTGGTAGTAATTGGGAGAACAGTGGTTTGGTGTATGAGTCATCACCTAACAACTTTTCAGAAATGCAACCAAAGTATGAGGTGAGACCAAATGTTCTTAGAGGTGCCATTCTGAAAGCTGGTTTGTAAAAGGCATGGAGATAAAAATGATTGGTGGAAAGAATGCTCTTGGAAGCTTTTCAATTGCCAATTCCTAGGCCCACACCCAGAGAATTCATTAGGTGTGGGATGGAGCTCAGATATTTGAATTTTTAGCAAGTGTCTCCAGTAATTGAGCTTAAATTTGGACTACACCTTGAGAAATACTGCAGTAGGGGCAAAGTTTTGTGTTGGAAAAGGCTTTTGTTGACTACTCCATTCTTTTTTGCAACACTGTCCTCTTTGATATTGTATTATGCCTAACCTGTGACCCCATTTGTTTGTGTTTTAATCTTCTTTGGCCATTTTCTTACCCTCCGCTCATGCTTCCTAATACACCAGTCCTTAGTGTTCTGCTTCTCTCATTTTGCACCCTTCTCATAGAACATCTCTTTCTGGAGTCATCTGTCAAATCTTTACGGACGGTTCTCCAGAATGATCACAAAGTCCTCTGTTTAATCTAAAAATCTCAAAGCCAAACTTAATTAAGGTGCAGTGGGGAGCATGGGGGCGGGGGAGGGGAGAGAGGGAGGGAGAACAAGAGGGAGATCCAGAGCAGGAGAGAGAGAAGGGGCAGGTGTTTGGCTCAGCAATTAAGCTTCTGCTTGGGACACCCACATCCCACATCTGAGTGTGGTGTTTGAGTCTTGGCTCCTCTGCATCAGATCAAGCTTCCTGCTAAATAAAAGTACACCCTGGGAGGCAACTTATGGCTCAAGTAGCTGGGTCCCTGTGCTCCACGTGGTGACCTAGATTAAGTTCCAGGTTCCTACCTTCAGGCTGACCCAGTCCTAGTTGTTTTAGTCATTTGGAGAGTGAAGCAGTGAATAAGAGGTTCTCTACATCCTTTCTCTGCGTTTCAAGTAGAAAAAAATTTTTTAAAGTGAAAGAAATACAACATACTGGAATACAGAATAATCAGAGCAGTTATTAATGGTAAGTAATGCCATAGAAAGCTTTTGTTTAATATAT